TGCTTCGATTTTCGATATGCCGTCGTTTCTCTGCATATTTACAAAATTTGCATTGATTTGAAATGATTTTTTTTGTTTCCAGTAAAAACATTTTGTGTATTTACAAGCTTATTTATGGGGTTGGCCTTCGAACTCTCAGAAAGTTGTTCATGGACATCAATCCAAATTGGTCTAATCAACCATCTGATGCAGCCACATTTGACAAGGGAAAAATGAAGCTTTCTAAAGACGAACAAGTCAGCTTCAACAAGGGAAACATCAAAGAATGGGACTTCTCATTGATGACTACTGCGCTGCTCTACTCACAAAGCTGTGTCGTGGAAATTGTCCAAAGACCAGGCCATGAAACTGCCCTGAAAGAGCTAAAGAAATGCCGTAACAAACTGCTTGGACATCCATCTACAGATGCGATGTCAGATGCAGATTTCAGTTACTACTGGCCCTTGCTGTCGAAACACTTTATCACACTCGGAGCAGACCCTAAAGTCATTTCTGAGATGGAATTTAGAAGAGGTAATGAAACAAATTAAATGGCGAATGCTAATGAAACACTTAAGGTGTTAGATCGGGTATTAAACCAGTCGAATTTGATCTTTTATCGTCACTCATAATTTAGTTTTTGGGTTTCTGAGATTTTTGGGACAATAAGGAAAACAGAACTCACAATAATTCATATTTCTATGCATTGGCGTAGTTTTCTAGATGAAGAAAAATCAGGAAAGATGTTCGACTGCGGTCGATGATTGCTTGGGAGCAGTGCTCCAAGCTGCGTCCGTTTTGGTCGTTGTGTCAACAGAAAAAAATTTGGCGACAAACAGCCAGTTTGACGACCTATTTTGGCGAAGACGTAGCAAGTTGTAACTTTCTGATAATTAAGTTTTCATGGTCTGAAGTTAAAGTGACATAAACATTATTATAAATTATTACTCAAAATGCTGCATCGTTTTTTCTATTTAAAGCATTGGCTTTTACCCCTATAACTGGTTCCTCGGATAATAAACCTTGAGACGTCACGTGAATCTCGAGAAATGAATGACGGTCATACTGATCAATCCAAAGAAGACACGCTGTGTGGTCAGCGATTTAGTGGTCGTGTAATATTACATAAAATTTTTATTTTTATTCTTCTTCCAACCTCTGTCTTTAGCCACAGACCTTATTGGAGCAGACTATTACATGAACCTTTTCCTCTCCGAACGAGATAGTCACCTTCGTTGTGAACAGAAACTGGACGATATTAGTGAAAAATTAGACGTCGTCATAGCAAATCAGGCACGTTTGAGGAATCAAAAAACCATCATTAGTCAAGGTGACGAGAGTAGTCCTGAGTGGGATGAATGGCTGAGATTTTGTTGCGCAGTTGATGACTTTGATTCCCAGAAAAATCAGTACATTCTTGCCATCGATACTGTGCCAAATGCAGAAATAAAGTGCTATTCTAATTTGAAAAGTGTCGCTTGGAAAATGATACTGGATTTTGATCTCATGTCAGAAGAAGAAGGCTTCTATCACGAGTTTACATCTAAAGAAGAGCAAATGAGTAACCTGGTAAGCATGTTTACTCCTGCAGAGTTGAAACAAAGTACCATGCGAAGTTTGGTAGGGCAGATCGATCCAAGAAAAACTCAGTGGTTGTTTGTTAAAGGAAGGGCTGGTGACGATGACGACCGAAAATGTGAAGAATTTTCTAATTGGGAAGCCACGGCAGTGAAAGACATAAACAGTCTGCTTCGATGTTGTTCGGATCCAGACACGTTTGACGAGTTAAAGCCAGTCATATGCCTTATCCTCCCCTTCACTCAGTGCAGCCAACCCTTTCTACAAGTAACAATGAGTCGTTTGATCGAAAACTTTAACAAGCACAAACTGACGTTCGTGTCTGTTAACAACGAGAGTTTGCCTGATCTTTGCGATTATTCCAGTATTCAAGCCTTCCATTTGTGCCCTAGGATTCTTGATCTAGGGTTAAGAGAGATACTCGGAACGTCTACGGATCAGAAGCTGCGAATGCCTACGTCCCATGCTGGAGTTACAGTACACCTTAGTCGACGACAGTATCTCTACATCAAAGAGTATCTGGAAGTCTTGTACTTAGGGTGTGAAGATCTACCGGAAGATGCTATTAACCCCTCGGAATCTTTGGAACAAGTAGAAAGACACTTGGAAGAGCAAAGAAAATCATTCTTGTCAGGAAATGAAATATCGTTTGCCAGTCTCTATGACAATCACGATGCGAGAAGACAGCTTGAGAGAGATATCCAAGTTCACGTTCAGCGACTCTTGGATCAAGGCCTATTTCGTCCCATCACCGTGGAAATTCGACATTCTCCAGGCACAGGTGCCACCACTATCGCCCGTCGTGTTCTTTGGAATCTGCATAGTGCATACCCATGCCTGATAACCGATGTTGACTCTCACCGCTCTTCGGATGAAGACAACGACTTTGCAAGCAAGCTATCAGAACGAATATCCTCGATCGAAGAAATTTGCAATACACCTCCATTGATTCTTATAGATGGAAAGAAATCAGGCTCCATAGAGGGCCTCTCTAACAAGCTTTCACGAATACTTCAAAGTAAAGGAAAAAGAGCCCTCTTATTACGGTGTATTCGAGGGATGAAAGAATCGAAGAAAGCACAGGAGTCATCTCATGTTCATAAAGTGTTTCATGTCAATGTCAAACTGGAGGAGTCCGTCACTGATCTGCATGAATTCAAGTCCAAGTATAAGGAGTACCTAGACTCGGTCGATAAGTCACTGAACGGTGGACTGATTTTATCTGGCCTTTGTCGTGTTTTCCATTTTCCTCTCCTGGCCATGATGCAGGTATTCCGTCCTAAACTAGAGAAGATCATCGAAGACACCCTCAATGAGCTGGGAGGAATTCAGCAAGAGATTGCCGCGGTAGTAGCCTTCTTACAAAAGTATGCTAACCTTCCAACTCCGGCCATTCTCCTACACGAAGCTTTCAAGCAGTTCATTCGCCTAGCAGATGAGAACACTGCCACTTATGATGATATCAAGCAGTTGTTTTCAGATTATCTGATGAATCTAATGATACCCACGAAACCAACACCATCCGGAAAGGAAAATCCACCGGAAAGCTATACATTCCAGCATCCGTTAGTCGCAGACCTAATCCTTAAGAGAGTGTATCAAGAGCAGAAACGCGACCTTTTTCAGATTGTCGAACGATTTCTTCAATTTCCCATATATCAGCAAGAAACTCTTCTACCCCTTTTAAATGAACTTTTCATCTACAACAAGGTCAGGCAAGGTCAAACGGAGAAGCTCAAGTTCTCCATTCTATTCGAAGAATTGAAGAGTACGGATTCAGATCGAGCAGCAGACATCTTTTGTAAAGCTGCTGAACAGATCAATCAGCCAGTGATGTATGCGAATGCAGCACGATTTTGTGCAAGAAAGGATCCCCCATCATTCCCAAAAGCGAAAGAACTAATTCAACGTGCTTTGAAGGTCCATGATTGTGCAGCATCTAAAGCTGGATACAAAAACTTGTGCCATACTAAAGGTGTCGTTCTCTATTTTGAACTCAAGCACAAGATCAATTCCGGCGAGGTCCACAATCTTGAACAATTGGAAGAAATGGCCAGTAAAGTTCTTGAAGCACATCGTGAAGCACGCAATTTTCCTCCAACTTACCCACACCCTCTTATTGGCGAAGTTGAGGTGTGGCTTGAGTGCATCACATGGATCATGAGGAACATGTGCGAGAATGACACTCAAGAGACCTTGCGTTTTGTGACAACTTTGTCTCCTCCTTTTTTTCGGACATGTTTAAGTGACTCTTTCCACCTTCTAGACGTTGTTGATGGTATTGTTCAAAGCGTGTCCCAACTTGCTGATCCTGAGGAAACCAAAAGGTTGTCTAACAATTTGAGGTTATCCCTTATGAAAACGTTTCGCTCAATATCTCATCTTCCTGGTAGACCAAAAGCCGACGAAGATATCGTTCAAGCTTGTAAAGCAATTTGCACCACGAAGAATTTCCGAGAGTCGTCAAAGTTGGAGCTTAAACGACTTCAAGTCCACTTCCTTTTGACACACACCGAGGCAGTCCACAATTTCAAACAAGAAAATCTTGAATACCTGCTGAAACTCCTTGAAGAACTCGTTCTCAAAGAAAACGAGTACAGCCTCGCTCATCATTTGATAAAAGTATGCATGCTAGTGAAAGGAACAAGATGTTACACTCTCCAGCATGGTCTGAGTGTCTGTGACAAGTGGTTGTCGGTGGCGGGCCACGACTGCCTCCCATCCTTTTACCAGATGGTTATCTGTTTCCTACAAATTTTGGATGGAAACACTCTAGATTTTATGCCGAAGTATATCCAAGCCTTGCAAAAGTGCCGAGAGAAATCTCAGAACCATCTGAAGAAATTTTATGCTACATTATATGTGGGCAAGGAGGGACATGGTATGTCTCGCTTCATCAGCCGCAATGCATTGCTTCGTGGAGAGACGAACTACTCTCCCGACAATTTTCAAAAAGTTTCTAAATTTTGGCAGGTGGAGAGTAGAACGAAACTGAAAGAGTGTAAAGGAAGAATCAGAGAGAAGGAATCAAGTCGTGGAAAGTCGCATTTTTGCATCGAGCTAGTGCAAGGTAATCTTGAACTCTATGTTGGCAAGAACGCTGACATCGGCAAAGTGCAGATGGATTTTACACCAGGAGCTTTGGTGTATTTTGTTGTCAGTTTTAATCTTCAGGGTCCTGTTGCCAATGGCATAACATTTTCGCCACAGGATTCACTAAACGAGTATTGAGAAAGACTGTTTGGCACTTCAACAGTGTCTCGTTCAAACGACCATTGGGAACATTTATGAAAATTTTACAGTCGGATTCTATTAAAGACTTCGGTTGCTCGCTCTGTGTGAGGCAGAACAATGACATACAATGACATTTTCAATCACTTTTCAATAGAAAACAAGCTGTAAATTTTTTATGAACCCTTTTCATTGCTACGCATATCTTAGATACTGTCTTCATCAATCTAATTTCGTTACAAATCATGTCGTTGATCGACTTGTGATCTGTTTTCGTTGTGCGAAAATAAGATTAGGCAAAATCTATATACGTCTAAACAAACCACCATGTGGTTCTAAAATTCTCTTTCCGGCTATGAAGCCTTTAGATGAGCTTTTTTATATGTCCTATTTGAGAGTCGTAGAATAATAGTCCTAAAAATTTAAATCGCGGTAACGTTCGAATGATCTAAGAGTTCGTTAAGGTTGATTCCTGGGCTGCCTTTGATAGCCTGAGGAGGTGCCATTGAAAATGTTTGGCCTCGAATCTTGGAAAGATATCTTAAAACTGTTTATTGTTAGGTCAAATGATAAGTCAAAAGAAATCTATGGGCACCAAAACGGTTAACAAAAGATTTAAATATTCATCTATGTCGTTATTTTGGGAACTATGTAGTTTATATGGTTATTCAGACATTTGTATGTCATAACCCAGTAATGTATAAGTTTGATGATTAAAAAAAAAAAGGAAGAATCAAGCCAATAATAAGGCAAACACTACAAGATATTTTGTAGATCACAATTATTTATGAAATAAATTTCGAGCTAAATAATTTTTGAAATTGTGCTTCCAAAGCCAAATATTTGTCACAATAAAATTAACTTTTTTTCAAGTGACCATTACTTAGTCTCATACACGATCGCTTCTTTAGCTACTGAAAAACTTAATTCGAAGGAGAAATATTTTAATGAAAAGAACAAAGTTGCCCACAATAAAAAAAAATCCTACTGACATATATGTCATTACCTCGCGAAACCAAAACCAAAAACGCGAAATTACTTTCCAGCTGCGTCCGGAACGTCCAGAACCAGTGGAACCGAATCCACTGGAAGCAAAACGCTGTAAATTCGCTCTGGACACCCCGACCACCCCGATGTTCTACTCGTATCATGGGCGATGATGTTAGTTTACGTTCGTGTTCCTCATTCCAGGGTCGTATAATGGAGTGGAATTTTAAAAGAGCCGCAAATTCCAGCATAGCGGTTTGCTGAGAACCTCCGGATGAAGCGTTCCTCGGATATCGCAGTACCCAAACCGTTAGAACTTTCAAATTATGGTTCAATTAATAACACTCAGGGTAAAGGCTGCTAATTGCTCCTTAAACATTATCATACCTTTGGACGATAAATGTCACCACAATTAAAGCTAGACATCAAGGGCAATTAAAACATAAATCTCCCCTAAGGTAATCTTCTTAAACCCTAAAACGACCTCTCTAACAGTGTTAAGGTCTTTTCAGTTTTTATTTTTTTCTATTACTTTTCTTTGACAAAAACGGGTTTCGAAGGTTCCGGATGTTCTGCTGTCTGCTGATCCACAGTCCAGTCACACTCTTATGTCGCTAGGTGTCACGGAATTTGTAAAACTTCATGGTATGAAAGGGTTTGTCCAAATGGCCATTTTGGATCGGAGAAAAACTTCGAGCTAATTTGATGTTACTCAGATCCGTTTGGCACACGCACAAAGATAACGGTAATAAAGATTTTGGCGCAGTCCACCAGATAGTATTTTATTTTGACAATTTTATTCTCAAGAAATGAAAAAAAAAAAAAATGAAGGTTGAGATTCAATACCTTCTCATTCAGTTAAATTTCGGCGGACCGTCGCGGACTGCACCGTAAATTCTCCTCATCGTATGTAGTTTTGGTTAGCCAAGTTTCAGATCAAAAGAATAAATCTTGCTGTTGCTGTGGAATGACACGATGTAGCTGTTCTAATTAATTGGCGAAAAGCGGCAATATCTTTGGCTGAATTCGTCAGAGAACCCATGTCTATTTTCCTTCCTTCATAGATTTGTTTAGATCTGTTATGTAAACCTGGAAGAAATCATTCATTGCTTTGATGTAATCTTTTCACCAATGCATGCGAATCTGAGACGTCATAACTTTGTCGGTATCGTTGTACCGGCACTAGGGGCAACGAACCCCAAAGCTTTCAGGAAACGAGAGCCCGCACGTACGTCAGTGGTTTCACCCACAAACAACAAAATGGCTACCAACCCGTGCTGCACTTGTAAGATTGGACCTTCTATCTTGAATGCCGATCTTTCGTGCTTAGCAGATGAATGTAATAGGCTGTTAGAATGCGGTGCAGACTACCTACACCTGGACGTCATGGATGGGTATGTGTACCCAATATAGCTGGCATTAATGACGACTATATGATGTCAGTGGAAAGAATCCTGTAGTTAGTGATCGTGATCATGTTGATCAAGGCGAACTGTAATATTTCTGATGAGATGATCTAATCATGGATTTATTTACGAGATAAGTTAATCTGGATATGCTACCATCATTTGGTGGCTGTCACGGGGCTAAGGGCCCGGGAGTATGTTTTGCGTTCGGTATACGGAAGGTTCTAAAAGAGGTCTTCCAATACTGGTAATTTTACGGGGGTAGGCTCGATTCGAGAAACACTTTGAAATTTTTAGGAAGCCTGAAGGTTTTTTTTAATTTTAAGGGGTTATTTTCTCACAAGTTTCAGTTTAAGTAAAAGTGTAAATCAGTATGGCTAAAACTTGTAATTTATTCATGTAAACCAGTACAGCATTCTTTGGTGTTCTTGTTCTCAAAAAAGTTCTTATTACTTTTTGGCTGTTAGCCATTTTGTACCCAATTTAACTTTTGGTGCTCCATTGGTGAAATGCTTGCGAAAGAAAGTTCCAAATGCCTTTTTTGGTAAGTAAAAAAACTTTCCAATACCATGACATTTTATTATTTAGAAAAAAAAAATTGAATGAATTAGTAACATTTCTTCAGAACTGCATGTTATGCCCTGGTATATAGCAAAAGGATAAACCTTAACCCAATAACCAACTTAATCAAAGCTATAACAAAATTCTTGAAGGTGATTGGTGATCACCAGGCCAAATTGAGCACTAAAAGGACAGTGTACCCATCATGCTTGTAATTGAACAGTGTACTAGGACAGTTAACAGGACAGTTAACACATCATGCCTATGTAAGTTGACAGAATGCATCATGTGTGGCGCTGTTGTCTCACATTTTGCTGAGTTAACTGCTTTTTCTTATTAAAACATATAATGGATGTCTAGTTTCTTTCTCAAATTTTGTCATAGTTTTGATTAGTTGGTAACAGGACTTTGTGTCATCCAACTCTGTCTGTAATCATATGGTGATTAGCAAATGAGACTGCCACTTTGCAGTCGTCTAATTTGTTAATAACTTGAGTGATTACAGACTGAATTGGACTCCACTTCTGGTCTCCTTTCTGATTTGTGTCCTCATAGCCACCACATGGTTCTTCCCCCTCTATTTACAGCTGTTCCATGGGACAAAATAAACGCATAAAACAGAGTGATAATTTTGTGATTACAATATAACTACTTATGAACAGTTTTGATCTTGCAAGCTACCGACAGAGGTGGTCTTTCAACAGTAACTGTAACATTGTATATGATTTGTATGATCAAGTTTTTGTTTCATTTCAAATTGCTCTATTTAAATTTGAATGTTGTAAAAAAAGTACTTTTTTACAAACAATGTTTATTCTTGATTATGTCAGATATGCATATGATGGTTGCCAATCCAGAGAAGGTAATGTGCTATCTGAGAACTTTTTAAGGAATTGTTGTGTCAAAGTACATTGTAAAATCTTTAATTTATTTAATTTAAAATTGTTTGGTAGATTAAAATAAAAGAAGTTGCAAGAAATTTTTTTCTACCATTTAAGACCTTACTATTCTGTGTTTAGTGGGTAGATGACATGGCAGATGCTGGTGCCGATCAATACACTTTTCATTTGGAAGCAACAGGTACAAAAATGAAGATACATTATTTGTGCTTTTTTGTGATAAAATCAAGTAATTAAACAGTTATTTGTCAAGGGAAAGGTGAATGTAGTGCTGGATAATTTTTTACCTCTCATCAACAAGATTGGAGCTGCTGACATTGGCTAGTCTTTTATTAACTTTATTTGAAGATTCTCCCAGGCTTCCTGTACAGGGGAAGGTGCCCCTTGTGACTAGAATCATAAATTGAAAAAAGAGTCCAATAGGTAACCAATTATAAATCCATATTGATAAATGAATCTTGATTGAGGTGAAGCTAAGTATTGAGTTCATCATTGTTTATTGCTTGTGTTGTCAGAAAAACCAGTTGACTTGATAAATCAAATAAAGAAGGCTGGAATGAAGGTAATACTATTCAACTTTTTGGAAATCATACATGTACAAATCAGTTGGCATTGTTTATCAATATTAATTAAGTTAATATTTAATCAACAGTAATAGTTCATTTTTATAATTTTTAGATTATGTGTTAACACAATTTCTTATTCTTGTGGAGACTTATTGCCTTACGTGAGGTGGGATAGGATTTGAAGGCTTCATAGTGTGAGCTTCAGGTCCTTTTTGATTTGAGAAATTTGTGATGAAATCTATTTTGAGGAAGATTTGATGTGGGTGTTTTTATGGGAGCTTTCCCATGGACAAAAAGCATATAGTCCAGATGATCATACAAACTGCTTTATTTTGAGTCAGCACAATGCAAGGAAAGGCATTACTTTTGTTAGGTATTAAATTACCAAGTTTGAAAGAATTACTTCAAGCTGCTTGAGGTTTCTAGCTCTCTCCTGATTGTTTTTGGAGAGTTGGTGGAAAGCTGACCGAAACTCCGACCTGTGATGGTTCTTTTGAGGATTTTTGTTTTCAAAATAACCATCTCCTAAGTACACATTACTCTCACTCTTACACTTTGAATTAAGTTTCTCTTACACCTACCATTAGGGTCTTTTTAATGTTAGTAGTTCTTTGTCTAATGGAACCAAAATAAGCTTTATAATGTAGTTATAAATATGTGACTGCTGAACATTTTCTGTGTTTTTTGTTTTGTTTTGTTTTTTTTGCAAAGGTTGGTATTGGAATCAAGCCTAACACACCAGTTGAAGCTGTCTTGCCATTTGTGGAGCTGGTGGATATGGTTCTTGTGATGACAGTGGAGCCTGGATTTGGTGGACAAAAGTTCATGGCAGACATGATGCCAAAGGTAAATTAAGATTGAAATGCATTTTATTATTTAATTTGATGCAGGAAATGATTTATGTTATGGTGTACTTTTAATCCTTTAACTCTTAGAAGTGATTAACATGAAACTTCTTCCTACAATATCCATACATTATTCAGCAAACAGGTAATGAGAATATTCCAACTTATCAGGTAGAAGTTGTTACCTTGATCTAGCACCAACTTTAACACCAAAGGGTTAAAGAATGTAGGCCTATAGAAGAAACTAGGAAATGAGTGGATCACTGATGGGAATGAGTTTGTGACCTCTCAGACTAATACAGAAAATGTGGAAAACTCTTGTATACTCCCACAAGGCTTTTTTTTCTGGCTTACAAACTTGTAAATTTTAGATTATTGTTAATCAATGAAAATCTTGAGGGTAACATGGTCAGAAATGTGATCAAGGAGAATTGGTAAGCATAGAAATTGGTGTGCTCCAATGAATAATTGTGTCATGAAGTGCTTTTAAAAGGTAATGTTGAATTTGTACCTTTAGTTATTAGTTCTTATCATCTATAGCCAATGCACCAGCAATAAATTGAAGAGAAGTTTAATTTCCTGATGATTTGACCAAACTCTTCTATTTACATATCATAAGAATGTGGTGTGAGAACCTACTTGCGATTACATTTCAACTCAACCTCACACCTTTTTTATTTGTATGATCCACGCAAAAGTGAAACTTATGTGGATAACTGCCTGGACTGGGGCTAGCAGGGGATTGGTTTTTACATCCTGCTCTTTTTTAAGAATTATTTCTAAGGGACTACAAAAGTGCTACTGAAAAGTTAGTTGTCAATTAAATTTTTTTTGGCAGGTCAAACACTTAAGAACCAATTACAGGGTTTTGGACATTGAAGTTGATGGAGGATTAGGAATTCCTACAATTGAAGCTGCAGCTCAGGTAGCTAATGATACTGTAACAGCTTTAATGTTCATACAATGCAATTACTGATGACCCCAAAAGTTAACTTACTGCCAAGTGAGATGAGGAAATGGTTTATACAATGTACAGTGAAAAAAGCCCTAATTCAGGGCTCCAAGCTCAACCATTGTCAAAGTCAATGTTATTTTAATGAGTAATGATGACCCAAAATCTTGTTGTGCAAATATCTATCTCAACTTCACCTTTCACACATTTTTTTTACAGATGAAAATATTATCAATAGCTTGCAACATGGCTGTTGAACATGAGTAGCCAATTTGGGGTCTTTGTTTAATAAGAAGTTGCTAAAAATGTTTTTATTAGCCATGGTGACCATTGGTTGCAGCTTTGAGCACTGGCATTTTACCTTTAAAAAGGTGAACTTAGGAATTTATTGTTTCTTAGGCTGGGGCAAACATGATTGTATCTGGCAGTGCCATAATCAAAAGTGATAAACCAAAGGAAGTGATTGACGCCCTGAGAGCAACCACTGAAAAATGGATCAAGATTAACAGTGAAGGAAGTCAATGAGTGATTCAGTTTATCAGCAACATTTCTAGGGAATTTTTTGGCATTGGATTTTGTCAATGATGACCAAGGGTCATGTATTTAATTGGAATATTTTGTAAAGTTTTTATCAAGCTGCAAGAGCATTCCACACAAAAATAGTTAAATTGCCATGCATTACTGTAACTTTTTTTTCATATCCAGCTTAGGAAATATTTTGTTTTTCATTTGCATGTAGCTGTGTCAGGGGTATATACACTTATCCTTTATTCACCAACATGCTCAAAAATTGCACTCCAATTTCTAGTGTCACATATTTGTCTGTTTTAGACAATCCACTCATTTCACTCAATACAAAAGTTTTAAAATGGAGAACCAAAGTTTGAATTTAAAATTGTAAACCTTCTTAATTAAAGAAAAAAAATATCTGATAATGCTCAAACTGACAATTAGAGGAGGGCATGAAAAGGGTTTATTTATAATATGTGACTTCAGCAAGACTGCTTAATTCCTAAGAAGTGTCTTCTATTCCTTTTTCAAACCACGGGAGAAGTAAATATTGAATCAAAACAAACATACGATCTTTTTTCAGCACACCCTATTATTGCACATTGGAGAAAACTCGGACCAAAATTTGCACACATACATTTATTTAATCATTATCACCCCTGTCAGCAATTTTCACAATTATGTTCTCTTACAAATAGTGCAAAAAACATCAATGGGAATCTAGAACACAACAATACTACTTAAAATGCTACAATACATAGACGAAGAAAGTTCAGTTGTCTGACTCGTTCACCACTTGTTGTAAAACCTCAGTTTAGTAATGGATCAAACTCTTAATGTACTGTCTCTTTTATGAATTTAAGTGTGAAGACAAACAAATGCACAGATACAACTGTTTACGGTCATCTCCATTTGTTCAGCATATCTGAGATATTTTAATGAAGATATTTAAATACAGGTACCCATTTATAAATTAAGTGCATGTTTGACAAAGCTGTTTGAGAAGATGAAAACTACCTAACTACTTTGAACTATACGGTTATAAATTACGAGACGCATCTTTTAAAAATATTATTTCCTTTTGACTGAAGGCCACAGATTTATGGTTTAGGCAGAGACTACTACTTAGTTAATACTTGAGTCTAAAACCCTAAGCTACTGCAGAACTACTTGTTGTAGCAGTAGGTAAACAAAGAAAAAGCATTTGCAAGACTTGATTACCGTGTACTTCGATGCCATAGGAAATAGGGTGGATGGAAAGCAAGAGCTTTTAACTACAGTTATCCCAGAATTTCTTTTCAACAGACTGTTCTGTCTCTAATTCATTCTCCCACTTGATGTTTTATTTTAAATTTTTCCCCTCTAATGTACTACAGTTCTCTTTCAGTGCTCTGGTATTATGAGTGTTGTCAATGACATATCTTCCACACTGGTTAATTCCTCAGTCATCATCTTCCTTCTTCTCATCACGCAGCATGTACCTGTAATTACATCATAGAAGTAAAATTTTATCAATGCATGTAAAAGATTATCAGTTGGGTAAAATATGGGCTAGTAAACTTGGGTCAAACTCTTTACTATTAGTAATTCTTACACAAATAATGTGCCCGATATATTTTAGATAGATCTATCTTTAGAAATTTTATAAAAGTGTAATATTTGTACCACTTATAACCAATGCTATTTTTGCAATAAAGATGTAATTTTGTGTATCAAAACAACCTTTCACTTCTGGATCTAAAAGGGAAGTTTTCTAGACAGTCATAGGAAATCTATCTTTTGAAACCCCTAGAAGTGAAAAGATGGACAGTTCTCCCTTTTGGTCCCCTTTTCACCCTGACATCAGTATGTATATTCTGTTCTCCATACATTTCCTAATGTGCTGACAAGGAGAATTTGTTTAACAATCAAGAGCTTCTTTAGTTGGTGATCATTTCCTTGATTCTTATGACTTTAATGTGTGATTCCTGGGAGACATTGCAAGGGGAAAATAGATGTAACCCCTTTGGGGGTCAACAGTTGAGAACCTTTCTAAATAACAATCTTAAAATTAATAACTGTACAAGTACATCCCTCACATTCACATTAATCTTAAATACAAAACACTTACCATTCAGTGACAGGCTGAGACAAATCCAGTTTACCAAGGTCGAGCAGAACCTGAAAGACAATGCAAATAATAACAGTGTCACTACCTGTAATGGTGTAGTTTGATCGTCCGGGTGAGTGTAGTCCTGAGAAGGACTGTTGTAGGTAGTGGTGACTGACGTTTCGACAACCTGAGCAGAAGTCATCATCAGAGTCGAGTGAAAGGTGGAACTACCCTCGTTACAATGTAAAACCAATGTGCCCTTGTTTGAAAACTGCTCCACAAAAGAGTGCAAACTCCTCCCACTCAGGTTATTTTGTCTCAACCCCCCCCCCCCATCTTGATATTACACTAAAACCTACAGTTACCTTTCTCTTTAAAAGCTTTTCCTTCCACTGTCCCCCATCCCCACCCCCCAAGTAGTTCTAATGTATCAACATGGGGTAGGTACACATATTAATATTTACTAGAGCCAGTTGACTTTAAAAAGCTGAAGGATTGACTATATAACTGTATAATATACAATTATATTATTGCTCTTATCTCTGATTATGTTAAAAAAATTTTTGCATATTGGAAACCTTCCACCTCAACTTTGTTAAGTGAGCCAAAAAAAATAACTTCATACCTGGCCCATAGAAGTTTTGCTCTTTGAGAAGAAAGACACATCATTCTTGACAGTAATGTCCAAAGTGTGTTCCTTCACTTTATCCTCAGGGACACTCCATTCAAACCTAAAAAAAATGTTTTCCACAGGATGATACAAAATCTTTCTCAGAGTAGGACACAAACATTACTCTAAGTAGAAAATCAGTTGCACTGTGAGATCAAAGAGTAAAAAAAGCAAAAAGGATATTAAGAAAGTTGGAATTACATTTCTTCAAAGTCTGGCTCGAGGGTGTTTTTCTTGACATCAGTTCGTCTGCGGCCACTTCGAGACTTGTCAGGAAGCAGGTAAGCACGGACATACGGGTCAGAAAGACCATCTGAATCACAAGCCAGCAATTTCCTTTAAGTGAGTAACAGAAAAAAATAATTAGTAACATGTAACAAAGTACCTAAATGTGTACAAAGAAGACTGAAGAAGTCCTTTCATTACTTTTTCTCTTTGTTTATTTATGAAATTTACACCTTTCACACCCATACATCAGTATCCATATTCTCAATACTTCTCTCCATATTTCCTTAGGAACTGATAAGGAGAATTTGTAAATTAAACATTAAAGCTTCATATGTTAAAGATCACTTCCTTTATTCTCATGATCTCAATGAATGATTCAGCAGTATTACTGAAAGGAGAAATTACATGCTGAACATGCTCTTGGGTTTAAACAATTAAGAGGAATGAATTTGGACTGACCTTGCTTGGTGAACAATGACCTCAAACTTGCTTCCTTGTTTGTTATAGCGCGTGGTGAGGCGAATGTCACCAGACACTGTCCTGTTTCAAGAATAACATCAATTACCCATGAATTAATTTGCTTAATATTTGGATCAAACCAGAGACACTGACAGATGATCAAAATAAAATCGGCATAACAGTTGAAGCACAACGTTATCCAAGGTTGCCTTTCGCACGCTCTTATAAAATGGCCAAAAAAGGAAAAAATTCTGAGCATATGGAAAGTTGCATACACTGCATATTGCAGCTTGTCAGACCTTCTTTATCATGACACAAATGACTTGGAGCGCCACTAGTCCTGTGTGACTAAGATGGGATCCTAGAGTTCATCAACAGGTTACTCTCCAACATTTTGTCAGGTTTTGCAAACCCACAAGAGAAAACTTACCTACCTTCCCCCCTCCCCCCTCAAAAGTTTCTTGCCCTAGAACAAAGTTCCCAGTGGTCCAGCAGGGTTCAACCTGTAGCTCTTGATCCACTGGACACCACAGTAATCATTAGACTTCCATATCTCTTACAGGTATGCTTTATTGCTGACAAACATCAGGTGCCTTGTATTTAACAACCCTTTAACTTCTAATAACTACCCACTTGTTTGTTCATTAGTTTTGACAGTAACCATTGCTAGGTATTACAACAGAAAGCTCTCTCTCACTGACAATGTCATCCCTAAGGGTTAGTGTTAGTGATATTGTTTACAGATGTCAAACACTAATCAACTGTTCACTTTACACCAGCTCACCTTTGAACCTTGGGGGCAGGCTTCCTTCGTCTCACAGTGCTTTCCTCGCTAGGAGCCAAACAAAAGCAGAAAAAAATGCAGCGTTTTAGGCGACTGTTACCTGATGCGAGGCTGCAAGGATTGCGGCATGCAGAAACAGTAAGGAGTTAAAGGAAAGATTAGTGAAAGCTGCCAGCAATGTGAAGAAAATTACTCTTGTTAGTAACCAGAATTTGCTTTAAATTTTATCACCTCTCAAGATTTACTTTATTTAACTTACATTGTAAATTTTAACTCTAAATCTGTTACTGATTACCAACACCAATTGCATGATTAACTCCTGTATGGTTTAAATTTTAATGTTAATGTTAATTTTTTAATTTTATACTAAAATTTTTACTCCATAAATATCACTGATGCTCAGAAAATGATATTTAACATTCAAAGACCATCAGTATCAAATAGTGATGTTGTTTAAAGTGTGCAATTAATTGTTTTTAATTTACAAGATATTTGTATATTATTTGAGGTTACTTTAAATTTAATTATGGGTTATTACTTATCTTTTTGACAATTTATATCATGTTTTATATCAAAAAGAGAGATGAAGCTGAGTGTAATGAAGAGGGAAATCTGCTATGATTTAGTTAATTAGAAATCAATGTACATTTCGTAATGCCCTGTTTGTAAGTTTATCTGTTAATTAATCATTAGGAGTCAAATGATTTTTAAAATGACTCTTCATTAATGATTCTTAGAAATAATTAAATTATGGTTCTTTGATTTATTGATGGATTGAACTTTAAATAAATTAACAAATGGTTGACTGAAACTGCAGTTATCATTTTAGTACACAATAAACCTTCAACTGTCCTTTAAATTAACACAATTTTTTTTTTTGATCTTACAAAAGGATCAGAGAGACATTCAAAAAGATAAAGAGACTATCAACAGATTACTGATTGCTCATAGTTTGATGTCCAGAGCAAGAGAGAGAGGTAAATGCATGTACATGAAAGATATTCATAACAAGCACTGACTGGTAGCAGACACAGTGTAGTCTAGTGAATTGGAAGGTACAGGTCCATAAAGCATGGACTTACCTTTGCTTGCTTGCACCACCTGACAGTTCATCAGCGGCAATCACATCTGGTTGGTCAGTGTCGTCTTCTTCTTCGTCTGATGTGTCATCATCTCTTGTAAACAATGCCTAGTATATAAAGCACATAAGGGGCTTGCATTTCCTCAGACTAAAGCATCATGTAAGTAACTACTTTCACAGAAACTGAAATCTTGACAAAGCACCAAATTTGGCAATGATGGGTGAAAAGACATACTGATGATCATCTCTCTGGGACCACAGTTTGAACATGTTTACCTTCAATGTAAACCTGCAAGTCAAAGTACTGTTGTGGCCTGAATCCTTCAAGGGGAAAGGTTGTTCAAATGTCATGTTCTCATTCTTCAGAAGCTGAGCCAAGGGGAACTCCAGTTTGCCAATGCTTTTCTCCTTGCTGCTGTCAAAAATCTGTTAAAGAAAAGAAAACCATTGAAGATGTGTAATAAGTAAAACCAACCGTAAAATTTTACATGTACATAGATCAGAAACTGGAAAATTCCTATCTACTTACGAGATGTTCATCCAGCATTGGAGAACAGAAAATTATCTGGCTATTACACCACATTTGTTGACTAAAATTCAATGAGCTGAGCTGTTTTTCAATCAGATAGTGAGAAAACTCTGACTCTTATTACATGTATTTTACAACATTTTTTGACTTGCTAAAAAAACAGTCTCCTTACAAGAGCCATCATCAATGAATGAATCTGTACCTCAATATCCAATTCCTGATAGTTAGGATCATGGATCATGAAGCGGAATGGTTCTTCCCACACTGGACTGATGGAGTCTTGAATGGTCTGCATTGTACAAGGTGGAAAAAAATTATTACTAACAATTTATTTCATAAGTGAAAACAAAATCATTGATTAAATAAATACCCATATAGTCATAATATTTAATAGGTATAAGATGTTGTAGCTTGATCAAAAGCTTATTTAAATAATATACAGACTTTAAGGTTACCTTGCTCTGGAAAGTGACATTTCCAACAGTAAGTTTGCAGAATGCACTTGTGGTACCACGGGCAGCATTTGTCACCTACAGAAAAGTTGAAATTAACTTAAAAATTTTACAACAGTGACCTTTCACACTTCCTGTGGTCTTATTCTGAGAAGCAGAGATTTTGCACTTCCTTTTTGTCAAATAAAGGAGAGCTCACATTGCACACTTACTGGAAGATTCTTGGCTGAGTCCAGTTTAACAAAAAGAGCTGCTGTTGCTAACATCTCCTCACCAATAACAGCTTGGTCAGGCTGTATATGAAAAACAAAACTAATAAACAAGCAAATAATACACAGTCAAGATCTTTGGCTCTTGGCCTGCCTAAACAAATGGTTGTTCCTGCACATATATACACAGGACATAGGTGCAGTTCTTGCTAAACTGGTCCTGTCTTTTGAGCATGGCCAGTCACTAAAAAAAAAAAGTTCTCCCACTGATTACTGCAATTCCAAAGTGTGACCAAGTTGTTAAACGTGCAAGATATTACTGAGAGAAAATGGTGAAAAGTTGTTTCTGGGCCTTGAAAACACACAGAAGGAACCAACTCACACACCGATTCTCAAAAGTACAGGTCCACAACTTCTGCTTTCCTTTTACTATTCTTTGACTGCTGCAGCAATGATTTTGTTTTTCTGTTCAGCTAGTCCTCATAAATATAAAAACAACCTTTAGTTCGTGCAGAACTTACTGGTGAGAGATCATCTGGTTTGGCAGTCAGTGTGAACCATGTGCATCTCAAGTTGATCTGGCCACTCTTCACATTCTCTAGTGGAAGCCACTGTATTCAAAAATTACGTAATTACAGGTTAGAATAAATTGAGCAAATTTAACCCTTTAACTCCAAGATCTGATTGTCAGTTCTCTCATCTAGCAACTACACACTTCCTTGTAAATTAATTACGAGAATTAGGTGTTCAATCAGGGTAATAAATTATAGTGTCCTCATTATCTGTATAATGTATGGACACTGTAGGGAGAGGTTACATAGTAATCACTTTCGGGAGTTAAAGGGTTAATCTGAGTGTTTAAACCAAAAACCAATAATTCATCACAATGACCAATCAGGATAGGGAGAAATATTAAAATGAACCAATAGCCAATCAGGACAGGGAGAAATATTAAAATCAACCAATGTAAACTCAGTCAAAAGAAAAAACAGGTAAAGTTACCAATTAAAGTGAAGGAAAGTGTCACTGATCAAATCACTATAAGTGAAATTTATCTCTTTGCATGTGTTTGGCTTAGAGGGTAGGACATGTTTTCAAGAACAATCACAGACCATAGGAAGGAAAGTAAACCCAGTACAATCCTGGACTGCTTCAATTTGACAATCAATTTAAAATTGCTCTAGATGCTATATCAGATCGCACGGTGTTAAAAAAGGTTCCTAACATCGGTTATTGAATATGACGTACAACTCTTTAGTTAGTGAAAGATTTGCAACTTACCAAATCAACATTGCCTTGTTGGACAATGGTACCAATATCAGCCTCAACACTAGGGAGATAAAACATCATTTGTCAACATCAAAACAGTCGCATAAAAACTGGAGATATGAGTTGCTTTCTACTAATTCATGTTTGGATGTTTACTTACGTTCCAAGAGATTCATCATCAGATGCTTTGTCCTCGTCAAAGACACCAATCTTTATTTTCTGACCATGTGAGTTGTCCACAAAGGCCTTCACATAAACAATCCGAAACAAAACAATCAGAAATGAAATATACCATGTTTGAAGTCTGAACTAGGAGCCACAAACCCATCAAAATCTTTACCTCAAACACTTCATTCCATATTGGATTCACTGTGCTGTCCTTTGTCTTTGTGCGGAATGTCTTGGCTCCCACTGGCAACAGAAAGAAATATCATCATAGGTTGAAACTATGAAAGAACTCACAAATTGACCTATGGTACACATGAGATATTCATTGGCATTCTGAAACAATGATCTTATCCCGATGAATTAATCTCTCCATGGGGGAAAGGCAAATGAGAAATCAAACAAATTATTAAATCAATAATTCGTGTCAACTGTAAGTTCATGTTTCATTGATTGCTGATTCTATTTAATTCAAAATAAACCATAAAAAAAGTTCACACAGAAATGGAAGTTTTGGAGGAGTTCAGACTTAAAGTATTATCCACCTCCCAATGAAACTGAGGCAGAAAAATTTCAGTGACACAAGTACCAAAAGACTCTTGGATACATATTTACTGCTGATCAGTAAGGGCCTTTCCATGTCTTTGGCTCATACAGTAATCTCCATAGGCTTTGACACATACCTCTGAGAATAACATATGGATCTGAAGAACCCTTAGATATGATACCAATGTCTTTCTTGATCAAGTCTTTAGCTTCCAGGACTTCAATGCGAAGAAGACCCTGGAGTGACAAGAAAAAGCAAAATTGATTGTCAGAAACCTTTAAAAAACTCCATTTATGTATACACTTGGTGTACTGCACTATTGAGTTATTCAAATTTAGATAATTCTATTCCAATTCCTCTAATGGTCCAAAACTGTTACAAGGGAAATTGTTTTCAACATGGCTTGAGGCACAATCAAAGACAATTTGCAGAAAGAAAACTCTAATGATAGGTACAAGTCACTCACATCAGGCATGGGGTATTTCAGTTCATAAGGATCAACATCAGTCAAAGGTACTGTGATCCTGTTTGGAAGAACCACAAATCCTGCTACAACATCATCTATTACCCCACGGATAATGTCACTGAAAAAATGGAAAAGGAAAGTTAGAGAACCAAACATCACCTCTAATCCAGATTAGTTTTATAAATCATGTCAACTTTACCACAACTAATGATTCATTATATAAGTATATCTACTGTTGCCCATGCAAGTTTTCTGAAAGGTAAATCAAAGTATGCATACCTCAGACCAGGAATATCAAGAATATTTGCCATGTTTGTTAAGTCAAAGTCGATGTCCTGTTAAGAATAAAGCAAAAAAAAAAAATTACAATAAGCTGAATCATACACCCATTTTGATTGGATCTTACTTTCAATCTATTGGAGGACAGAAGTATAGATTACATCACCATGAACAAGACTTTACTTCCTTATAATATAAAACAATTGGATTCTACGTTACAGTCTGCCCAGTCAGTAATAGATCACAGGTAATATCAAAATGTGGTGACACATCAGTGACACACCTGGCAGCAACTTGAGTGCCACTTTTTTTTTTCTTATCACAGTTTGACATCTGTGGTCTATGACTGAACTGTCCTACTGTAAAATGGAATGTATTTGTTTAATATCCAACCTGATTCAGTTTATAATAGAGCATTGACAGCCTAAAAACAACTTTTCTTGTCAAAAATTGGTATTTCAATTAATTTTTAACTTACAGGTCTGTTAAGAAAGAAGACTGACACCCCACCCACGAGAGGAGCAGCTGGGATGAGAGGGCGCAGAATCACACGCAGACTTCCACGAAGCTGAATGGGATGAAAAGAAAACCATAAGAATGCAGCAGGATAATACATGAAAATTTCTAGTTTCAAGCAACTCATGCTGGTAAAATATTCTGTTTGCAGTAAATACAATATACCTGGAGATCTTCAATGCCAACACTGACACCCTTGACAGATAACTCAAAGTCTGAATCCCCAGCATAACTAAAAGCAATGACAAGAAATAAAACAGAAATTAGAAATTTTATAAAAATTTTTTCTATCTTTTCTAACTTCTGAGATCTAAACTTAAATTTCCACACTGTGCTTTACATTTCATATCATTTTGGCACTAAGAATTTGGTGCAAAACCAGAGAATATGTGCTAACTAAATAAACGTTTCTTTCTTCTAAACACTCTTCTGCCTGAAACAGTTTTGGAATTGTAATGAAAAATTCCATTTTGGTCACTCCTGAAAGTGAAAGGGTTTATATTGGACAGCTTTGAAGAGAATACAAATCAAACTTGTAATTGACACAGCACAAGTCATGATAATTCTTTAATAATTATAAAATCAAAGATCTTAATAAACACAGTGGCACAGGAAGTAAACAATCAAGTTTGAACTGAAGTGTACTCACATTAAATCAATATCCATGATTATCTCATTACGGTCCACATTATTAGTGTATGTCTTGATTCCACCAATACGGGGAGGCTACAAACCAAAACAGAGTGTGAGTGAGGAGATTGTATTGCTGCATTGTTCAAAGACAAGTCACATGTAAATTATAGCAAATTTTTTATGTGTAAAACCCTCTGTCTGACTCACCACTTCACCAAGAGAGATTTCTTTGAAATAAATGGAGCTCAAAAATCCAGGCACATTCTTCTGAATTTCTGGTTCCACTTGTTCCTTTAGGATCTTTACCACCATGTCATTGATATACGGCCACAGTTGAACCAGCATCTGTTGTTGAATAATCATATAATGAGATAAAACAGTGTCAGTTCTAAGATCAAATGTCATTACCTCGAACTTGCTGCATAGGCAGCCAAAATTTTTCCCTAGTTTTATATCAAGAAATACTTTTTAAGAGGGAAAATTGTAAACCATGTGAGCATGTTAGCCATACTTGCCTAAAGATTGATAGCAGAACAACTTAATAATCGTAAAACTAAAACTAAAGTAATAAAAACAACCAATAAGAGCAATAGAAAATAATAGGAGCTGATAAGAACTCAAAGGAAAAATGAGCCATCTGCCTTAGTCCTTTAACTCCCAAGATCTGATTGTTAATTCTCCCCTCTTCCTGCTACACATTTCCTTGTAAATTAATTATGAGAACTTGGTGCTAGATCAAGATAGCAGCTTCTAGCCGATAAATTTGAATATTCTCATTACTTATTTGCTGAACAATGTATGGATATTATTGGGAGAAGTTTCATGTTAATCACTACTGGGAATTACAGGGTTAAGTACATGATTAGGAAAATTTAAAAGAAAGAGTTGCATCTGACTGGTCAAAAGGGTGACTCAGCAGTACTGCTAAGATGTAATACCTTACTTCTTGTTTTTAATACTGGTTGTATTGTTTTTTTACCTTGTTGAGCCATTCTGCTCTTTCCACATCAGGAAAGAAAACCTGGAGGAAAGAAAAAATAGCTAAGATGATTTATCTTGGAAGATAAGCTAAATATAATGGTTTATACACTTTACAGAGTCAGCAATAGGGACTTGTAACCAGCCAGCAAAACACAGGCTGGTCTGCCATCTAGCCAGCTACTTTTATGTGCACCATTTCACCTAAACTATTGATGAATACTGGTCAAATTCTTGAAAAGTTATCCAAGAAATTTTTATAGCAGCCATTTCCAAGATTTGAGTCGAATTAAATGCAAAATTTACCCTCAACAAGTTTCAGTGTGAATCACTTCCTTGTTGAGAATTTTCCCACAACAATGTTTTGCAGGCTTGGTGGAATGCATGGGACATTTTAACTGAATTGTTCCCAGTCTTGCTTACAATGTTACAAAACAACTTGGCATCCAAAATAACCTGGCCACCTACTATTCCTCATTTGCCCTCTACTTTCAAAATTAATCGACAGCCCTGCCAGGATGATTCATTTGTTTGGAAGCATTAGACCAAACAACTCCACATGTGGGTGCTGTGTCCAACCTTTTTCTTTCACTTGAACACAAAGAAATAAAGATTTCTGTAGGAGGAAGTTATAATTTTGAGGATCCTCTTTCCAGAGGACACCCTTGTGACTAGAAAAAGTGCCCCTGACTAGAAGTGGCCCTTAGATTAAGGTACATGTAACAGCATTTTGTTGAGCCAGGCCAGTGGTCATTTTGTTATGAATAAAAAATGCAAAATAACATTCAATGATATTTCATACCACTTTGTAACTGTTTTTAAATTATGGATTCAAATTGAATGTCTCAAAGTGTGCACAAAGAAATATAATCATGGTAACATCTAGATAACTATTAAAATATACATATTTATATTGAACAGTGCAAATTTGACACTATTTTATGCATAAAATTTTTTTTTTAGAAGTTCATTTCACACCCTGCAGTCACTAATTATTTCTAATTCTTGTGATATTCCTTTCCCTTAAATGTATTTCCCAGCAACATGCAAGAGGTCTTATTAAAATCAACAAAGGCAACAACGTTATACTAAACAGTACAACTTGAATCAAAAGACAAAATTACTGAATCATTGGGGATTTAAATCCTGATGTCAAATAAAATTTTCACCAAAGTACTTTTCTTCTGGTTCAACTGCACAACATTTTAAGCTGTCTCAATTAATCCAACACCTGTCAAATTCAGACTGGAACATTATTACTTGGCATGATGTAAAACACATTGGAGTGCCTTTCAACAGCTGAACAGACATTTGGCACAAATGTTGGTCTCGCAAAGTAAGACGTCTTGAATGTTTTATGAGCTTCTGTTATTTGAAAATTTTCTCCAACTTGAGCGAATGACGCGCAGCAAAGTTTCATGTCTGGAGAAGCTTTAGGAGATATCCACGAAAATTTGGTTTATTGTTCGGATAATTTCTCAGGTCTTTGAAGTTTAGTAAAAAGAAAATAAGAGGTTTAAGGGTGATTGACCAAACAGCTTTGTGAGATGCATCAGCTAAATATACATTACTAATTTCGATGTGTTTACATCGCTAAGTGACTGCTCCCAGAATGAGGCCCATTGTATCCTCGAGCTGTCCAACAGTTTCATGTCTTAAAGCTCTCTAAACAAGTCCAGACTCGAGGACCCTTACGACATGACGACCCAATACGAGAAAAAACCTATTTGTTCCTGCATATAAATTGTGAACGAACTTTCGAGAGAAATGCTCAAACCACGCCTTACCAAATAACATGATAAATAAGCTTTAAAGCAGATTTAGAAGCGGAATGAAGATGAAATATTGTCAAATACTTTGTTAGCTAGGACTTTAACAAAGCTCGTCCATACGAATTAGAAGAAATAATTACGACCTGTAGCTCACAAGTTCAGCACGAGGCAACGTGCACTAGTTAGGATGTTTATCGCATTACGTGACTCTTACAAATCGAAGCCTCGAGGAAGAAATATTTCTCGGGAAATTTAAGTCAGTTTCAAATCACAATTTTGTTGATGACTTGAGCGACGCGATCGATCTAGAAACAAAAGGCTATCTTTGGCTCAAATTGGTTGAAAGCACATTAAATATGCGCTCATTTGCCTAGAGACGTATCTTACCCAAGATGGCAGATCTTCCATTCGCGCCTCAACTACTTCTTGCTCGCGTTCTACAGCTTCCCTGAACGCCTGTCTCCTAGTCTTTCGTTCGTCCTGATTCATACGCCATAAAACATACACGAAAAAGCCGCAGATGATCCAGACGTAACTCAATCCAAACCACCCCATAAACCAGATCAGCAAAGCACCTCCGACTAACTTCAGATATTTTATCACAAAGTTCAAAATTGCAAGTTCTGTCTTCTTCGCTGATGGCTTCTGTTCATTTGGAGATGGAACAATCGCTTCAACGCCAGGTTTCCCCTGATTTTCGGCGGATTTGTCCGCTTTCTCTGCTGCCACAGACGTCGCCATTGGCACAAGCCTACGATTACCAGACACTATACTGGGTTTGTGCAGAGCTCGGTTGAATTCAATACATCGGCAAACCTCTCATATGCTAATCACTTTGAGACGTGTCACAAAAACAATAGTGTAAGCGAGCTGTCGGAGCGTGACAAGGAAGAGCGAAAATACACTTACAGGCTTTTTCCAGTCTCCACCTGCTTTTAGCAACGTGTCCCTCCGCAATTTTATGCCGTAATACGAATTTTATAAACAACGCAATGACAACATATCGGTATTGAAAGGAAACGCCCCTTCGATCTTATTTTTCACCTAATGGGCGCGTTGTCTATCAATAATACCCCCAGAAGCTGCTTTTATTTTTTGCTTCATTGAGATCAACAACTTTGAGCAGAAACCACGAGATTCTCGGCTTATAGGCGCATCTTTTATTTAAACTGCTGCTGGAAAAGTCCCAACGAATGTAACACCTGCCGTAACTTGGTGTGTTTAAAATTCAGTGAAAGGTAAATAGAGATATGGAGCTTATAACAAAGAGTTAAACCTTAAAGCATCTCAAGTCATTTGGTAGTCTATACTTATTGAGGATATTTTTGAGTCTGCTGGCTATTTCTTCATCAGTTTACTACAAAGTTAAGCATTCAACAAACCCCTCAGGTAAAATATGCAATCGGTGTATTTAAATCGATTATTCCGCCACCACAAATTAATTTGGCTGAAACGCAGTGGCTATTTAGAAGCAATGTAAATCATTCCAAAAAAGAGTCTCATTTACGGTCCAAGATAAATATAATAATATAAATTTTATGTTTGAAAAAAAAAGAGAGACAAATTGAAACATTCGAAATTGTAGAGTTGACCGTTGTTACAATGCGTCACTTGCAAGACAATTGAGGGGAAAAAAAAACACTCGGCAAAAAGCAAGAAAAGAAGAAGGAAAAAAAGGAAAACAACAGAGTAAAAAGGGCAAATGAAAATAAGGATAAAATTGAAAGTAATAGTATGACTGATGCCTGGCGAAGAATTCTTGAATAAATGGAAAAATAGCTGGACAATGCACATTTCAAACGGTGAACAACGAACTATGATAATTCCTTATATTTTTAACTTATTTGTCTTATTCTTTGTAAATAGAGGCAGATGTTCTCAAAGGGAAGGAGGGTTACTTCTTCTGTAAAAAGATAAGGCGTGCTAGATTCCGGGGGGGTACTTTCTCATTTACTGGCCATAAGCAAGCAGTTTGTATTTTATGTGGAATAAGGCTTCGCTCGCGCTGAGGAGACAACACCCACAGATGCAACTCTTGTGGTGTGCTTTTTCTTAGATCTGAAATAGGGTCAGGTAAAAGACTTCTTCGGTAACGTCTCGAAAACCATATCCCAAACCAGCACCTGAAGTTTCCATCGGGTGGGAAATAAATATTTCAACAATCTGGATTAACTTTTTGAGTAAAAAGTGATTGCACATGATTACTTTTTTAAAAACCTTGGATTTCACGATTTAACAGACGAGCCGCCTTCAAAAAGACTCTAGGCCTTTTTGACGAGAACACAAGTCAAAATCAAAGATGAAACTGAAGAAGAATTACCTTACCGTGTTATTGGGTTTAAGTGAAGACACATCTGCGATAATTGATGACAAAATAACAAAAGATACAAAAGTACTATGATGGCGCCCAGAACCGCTCATGTTGAATGCTCAATTCCCTCTTCTCAAAGTAACAGAAAAAGAAGGGTCACAATGTATAAATCGGCTTTCATTGTACGGAGGAAACTTCTGTGTAAACAACGTAGGTTTAAATGGCTTAGTTCCATTGTAATCAGTTGCCAATTGACGAGTAAATAAAAAAAAGTTCAGTGTCGGGGAAAAAAGAAACTAACAAATTTGCGTATGTTGGCTTCAAACTACCCCTGAATTAATAAACTGAAAGTTGGATAAGCTGTTACCATTGAAGAAACATAAGCCAAGAAAAAATTTAGTTCATATTATAAAACCATGTACTGGACTGAAAAATTAAACTTAATTCGTTGCTGTATACGAAACTAAACTGGGTTTGTAAAGAAACGTTTTTCATTCTTCGACACAAATTTACAGACAGATATTGAACTAATGGGCAAATGAGTTTACTCTATTTACAAAGAGAACCGAGAAAATAATAGCTTTCATTTTATAGAACCAGCCGTAAAATGCCTGGTTTCAAATAAAGCTGAATACACATTATGCAATGCTTGTAACATGACAACGGGTCACTTCATACATTTTCTGAACACGACCACGAGAAAAATTAGTCAAGGACCATGCACCCATCAGGAGCCCATCAATAAACCGTTCTGTTATAACGCCGTGACATAGGTTCAGTATGGGAGTTGAAGGCTCCAAGTGATGGGCTCCTGACCTACTATACTTTGCCAGAAGGTGACCTGATAATACAGTAATAATTATAATGATAGTAAAAGTAACCAAAAAAAAGTAACAACATCATTTACGCTATCCTGGCTATTATCATTTTTATCATCATTATTGTTATTAGGCCTTAATGTTGTTATCAAATTTATTAATAAAATTATTATTTTAATAACTAATTATTATTATAGACGTAAGGGATAGCGCAAAAGTACAGTTCCTCGGCGTCCACAAACAGCACAGGTATCCCCCGCTTTGTTCCACCCCGTTTCTCGTCCCTGTCCCCGCCCCCGTCCCCGCTCCCGGCCGCTTCCCGCCCCTTCCCATTTTTAGCATCGTCTTGTAATCACTGAGTAATCTCTAATTGGTGCGCAGGAAATCTGGTGAATTCTTTCCCAGATCCCTCGACTCTAACAGACAGGGAAGACGCAAGGCAAGTCCTCAAGCTCGTTCTGGCTCAGAGAAAGCATAATTTATGCCCAGAATCACAGTGGATTTACTGTGCCGTAACATGTTTGTACAACAAAGGGATAGTGACAAGAAGTTGTAATCCAGAACTCTTCAGGATAAAAATTAAGAAATTATTTGAGAATGATAATCCATAGAAATTGATTTATAGGATAAAAAAAAAACAGATTCGACATTATATATGTCTGATATTGTTTCAGGATAACTGGGTGAGATTATATTCGACCGTGCAAAAACAGTCAGAGTGAAAGCTGCCCTGACAAAGACTGCTCTGTTGTTCAAAATGTTTGCTTTGCTTCCATTCTGTGTTAGAACTGAATTGTTTATATTATGATCGAATTTTCAGCAATCTTTCGCTTCAAGTGTATTCAATTCGAAATAAGAATATTCTGTTGTACATTTGCATTTTGATTTTGCAGCTGTCAGAAAGAAAATACAAAACCTGGTCAGGGGAATAATAAATACAGCAGCTTTTCACTTGAGCAAATAAAAAACAGGGATCAAAATATTGTGGCCGTGAAAATTATATTTTCTCGGAAGCATCATGTCTAAATAAAACGAAAGTCGTGCGATCGAAGTTTAAACGCGCCTCTTAGTCGTAAGATTGATGAAGCTGTATAATATAATTTCAGGGACGCGGTGGTTTAAGCTCAAAAGAAAGACAAAATCATGAGAAAAACTACGACAAAAAATTAAAATTTTTCGATTAATTTACCCTGGCGTCGCTTGAGCGTTCGATCCTCCAGGAGGCCATTTGCTTCACGAATTATAAAGCAGGGAATTGAAATGATTCAGCGAAGATGTTTTGTCAAAGATTGGTCTCCACTGCACTCACTCGCCTGGGCCAATGAAATAACTGATTGGCAGTTTGTTGTTTACCACCCTTGAAGCAGGTGAAACTTATCGGGTTTCGCAGCTTTTTATCATAAAAAGTAGAACTTAAGCGAATTTGAATTAGGTTGTATTTCGGCACATTGTGGAACTGCAATAAAATTTGTTTCTGACGAGCAAAATTGTAACATTTTAGATATTTGGAGAGCAATAAGATCGCTCTCGAAAAGATTTGAATTGCCGTGTGTGCGTATGGAGACCATATTTAAATAAAGGAGGTAAGCTTCTAAGGAAACTGTGGTGCTGTGTCGATGAGGAGTACTGCAAGAAGATTTTAGAGTCATCAACTGAGTTGTAGATGAACTAAATTAGTGGCCACCGCTCAAAGTTTCTAAAGCTAAGAAACTCTACACAGTGGCCAACTTACATTAACATATCTGTACTGATAATACCAAAGTTTCTTGCAATGCCACAGTTTCCTAGGAAACTGTCTCGGCATTACGTGACCAAGAAGGGACGCTAAACCTCACACAGAAACTTGAATTAGTAACTGTTTATCCCGCGACTGGTAACGCTGGCTTTAATTTTTTTTCCCGGGCTATGTCTAGACATATTGTAAGAATTTAAAACTTTGTTTTGGGCACTGGTCACGCGTCAACATTCATTCCTTTAAATTTTCTACAAGGCAGATCCTCTGGTAACGAACTCTGCCGATAATCTGATGGTATCAGCAGTATTAACATGTGATTTTCACGAGAGCAAATGTTCAAATGCATATGTATTTATTTTGTAAATACTGAAACTTAAATAGATTTTGCGGTCACTATGCCCTCTAAAATTATTTGTTTTACAAAAAAGTTCGACTTAGCTTAACAAACAGGTCCAATGATTTCATAACCAAACCAATAAATAAAAACACTTACTGGTGCTTAAAACGCAATCGAATTGGTTGAGAATTTTTAAACTCGATAGAAGCTGTCGAAATGCATTAAACGCTGCCAAACAGCCGCAAGTCATGGGCCATTCGGTCACCAAAACAATTCAAACAATACTAGCTCCACCTTCAAATTTCCTCTTCTAGTTCCTTCCTCGCCGAGGGGAGCGGTCATCATCTGTCACCAGGGTTGGAGGGTTTTGGTAGTGTCCATTTACATGATCTCCCCACAAGGCTCGGTGATATTCTTATGATAAATTTTTATTCTATTTTCTAGAACTTCCCCTTCATAGAGGGTCCCAGTGGGGTTAACTGTTTGCCGTAAAACGACCGAAAAAATTAACCGCGAAGCGTTTAGGTTGACAAATTTTAATTGTTAGTCGTAAAAAAATGTTAACCTTAGATTTTTTTCCTTTTTACAATGTGTCATTTTGAGTTAACCGTAGCCGTAAAATGGTCGAAATTTTAATCGTTAGCCGTAAAAGCCATCATCCCATTGAGAATCTCTTTATTGTCAACTACAGAAAATTGAACTAGCTACTGTTGAGCCTGCAACTAATAAGACCTTAATTTTGTTT